TTAATATACCGCATTAGTATTTTTGCATATTAAAAATTTTGCATTAATAAATAATGAAATAAAGTAAACGTAATAAGAAATAATAATACATAGAATTATACATGCAATAAAAGTTTTATATTAAAATCTCTATGACATTATAAGTTCATTGATAATAGTATTGTTGTTAGTAGTATTATTATAGTTTATTAGTACTATTAGGAATAATAAACCATTAGACATATTATTAATATGGGAAAGTTAAGAGAACCGTCGTGCTCTTGTAGAAACATTTATCGGCTTAATCCTACAGTCGCACCAGGACATCAGCATTATCATTAGTCATGTTGTTTACTCTCGACTCTCGGGAAACGCTGACAGCGTAGGGATGTTTTCTTCCGTGCAACCTAGAATTGGCTCCGGCCTGGCGGAACGTGAGCTTATCGAGTAATTCCATACGTCCTAGAGGCAGGTTATCACGACGAACACGTCTGTTCCTGTTACGCACGGAGGCTGCTACGCGCACGTACGAGGCTCGATGCATCGGAATGACGCCAGCGCTCCGTTTACATTGTGCGATCGCAGAATACGCTTCGGCGAAACAGCAAAGGCGCAAAGCTAACAGGATAGCAATGGCGGAATTAACGTATTCGTATTACGCAGGGCTCGCCATATCAGCCGCGGCTAGATGAATGCTAATTAGCGGAAGATATATGCCGCATCTCGTTGGTTAGAGAGCTATCTTCTGTTACTACTGTGGTAGATATTCGCAGTCAACGACCTGTTTCTCACAGTAGTACGAGTTGTTTATAAATGCGGCGGTGTTTCTGAAGCCTTAAACATAATAAAAAGCACAGGCAATAGGAACAGGGAATATAACAGATTTCAACCTATCAAAATTCATTGCGTTTTATTTTAAGCACAATGAAAAGCACAGGCAATAAGAGAGAACAAGGAATAACAAATTTCAATTTCTCAGAAACTCTGCATTCTAGTAGACGCAGTTTCTAATAAGTTGAAATCTTATTTTCTATTTCTATTGCATATGCTTTTCATTGTGTTTAAAATAAAATTTTAGAACGCGAGAATATTCTTGTTTGTTACATAACAGCTACTTTACGTAAAAACATAAGCATTATATTTAATGGTTGTATCACGCGTAAGACACAGATGATTGAATGAAGAATTATAATCATTTATTCATACACGACAGCACCTCTGCCTTTGGGAATCAAATGAGAAGACTCGCATCTGCGCAAGAGTTACTATGTTTCTTGCTCTGCTGCAAGCAAACTCACGAAAAAGCATGAGCTGTACGTCTATGTAATGTTAACACGTAACGTATAATGAGCTGATATCATATTTCGAGTTTAGTACCATCCTCGCATTCTGTAGCTATAATAAGAACCGTGTATGATTATAATATTATATAATACATTTTAATTAATATTTTAAAATATTATTTTAAATATCTTAAGTGTGACTTGAAAAAAGTTTATAAAGAGAAAATAATATTAAAAAAAAATTTGATGTGGCAGCCAATTAATGTAAGAGCCTCTGTTGAACATGAATAAGGTACGAGTATGCGACGTATTATATAAAGTGTGACATTGGGGAGCATTTAGTTATTCCACAATTCGCTAACATATGAATTTTGCGTGGTTTCGTACCCATTAACTAACGGTAATGATCCAACAGAAATAGTTTCCCCACATCTACTTTGTCGAGCGACAAACTGTAATGGTGATGCAAGCCGAGTAATTTAATATAGCGTATAATTCAGACGAAATCGGGACCTGAAACCTGTTACCGCGTCTGGTTAAAGCAGCCGTGAAAATGGATCTACGAGCGGCTATAATAGCCGCTGCCAAGTTTTCGGTTGTGTTAGAATAATGTTTGAATCACCGGCTGGCCCAACTAATGAGTAATTAGACTACTAAGAGATGCGTCCAATTTTAAGACTCCCGTCATAGTCATGTTAAGATAATGGGCTTTGCTACAGGCTTCGTGAAACTACCTCTCCTCCTGTTATGAATAACAATATAACTTTGTATCACCGAAGATGCCTCGAAATCCTCTTAATCAGAAGACATTGGAGTAGAGCTTATCTACATGTAACTGTTAGTCGTAAATTTAATTATATGAAAATAATATAAGATAAAGTCTTGCGTGTGTATCATCTTATGTCTGATCAAAAATGTCAAACGTAATGGAAATCGATATTTCAGTAATCTACAACTGAGTTTAATTAAATAACTGTCGATGGAATATGGATTTAATTACACACAAATAAAGTAACAATATTATTATGTAACTTCATTCAGAAATATATATATATATATGTATATATAGTACAGAAAATTAATAATTTAGCAGTTAATATAAGAGAGCTGAAAAAAATATTTCGATGTTTATCAAAACAACGATAACGAAATATTACCATAATTATATAGATAACAGGAAGATATATGTAGAATCTACTTGCTTTGATTCAATACCCCAAGCGGTGTTTTTAATTAATTACGTAGTAACAAATAACAAATGTCATTAGCATAGTAAACAATACTGTTATAATTCGCTTGACACACAGAATGTGGATTACCGCCACATCTCGCTGGCTGCGTTTTATCTAGTTGCTCTGAAATTGTTACTCTTTTCTTGGAAACATTACAAGAATGATATAACACTGTAACTGGTGGCCTTAATCGCGAAATTACGTAAAAATTCTCAGAAATATTACTGCAACGGTATTTTAACTCGTAACTATACATTATAAATGCAATCATATACTGTAACAATTTCAACGAAATCAATTGCTTCTCAAAAAAGCCTTTATGATCTTATATGTTCATGGTCAATTAAAAAGGAATGCAGTACATATATATTACTTGTATATACTTTTATTTATATACACATTATGTATATACATATATTATACATTGTCGTTATATAAGTATGCGGCGCTACTAAATCGATATACCGTTTAAGCGCGAGGTAATTCCCCGTGAAGAAACAAGCGTGCAATTAGTCTCTAAACAAGCGATGCAGATTTCAGACTTAAAATACGTAACCAGGAAGCATTCGCCGAATTTAATCAGTTTCATTGCAGTCGTGTACATTAGTGTGTAGTTTGATAAATATATGCAATCTGCAATGAACAAAAATATACACATAATATCTAGAAAAATGGCATATTTATCTTTCACGACAATGTGGCGCCCAACAAGTCAGCTTAATGTTGTTACTCTCGCAAGACAACGCAATTTCAGTACCCATTTAATATGTATCTTGGATTAAGACAAATATTCGCCTTTATGTTCCATAGAACGGGGCGTCCTTTTCTTTTGCACACAGATACGCGTGCACCTTGAGGTTTCATCAGCAGCTACAACGTAGCAGCAACAGCGTATCGGCGCTGCTGCGGTAAGCGATACGAGATGCATAGTCACGAATGAAGGAACTAGGGAGGAAGACAGAGAGAAAGGACAAGGTGAAGTGAGAGAGGTGTAGAAACGATATGAGAGAGCGCAGAGACAGAAAGGGAGACTGACGGAGGAAGAGAGAATATGAGAAGCGGGTAGCGCGGATGAACATGGGGTGGAAGGAGAGAGAAAGACTACCGGTACAGTGAGTGAAAATAGAATAAGAGGAGAGCAGGTAACGGGAGGACGAGAGAGACCCGGCGGGAGGGGGAGAGGGGGAGGGGGAGCAGGAGAGTTTCCTCCTTTTCAACCCCTGTGTTGCCGCGTACCGCGCAGAGCGGCGCGTAGGTATACGTACACACTAGGCGTCTATATTTTATATCCGGTGTACCCGAGTTGTCGCTAGGGCGCAGACTCGAGCCAATCGGGGTCGGCCGGCTCGCCAGTTACTTTTCGCGATTCACCGTGGCCGCTCTTCCGCGGCGCAGGTAGACGGACGGACGACAGTCAGTCAGTCAGTTAGTGAGACGAGAAGGAAGGATGTAAGAGGATTGTATCGGCGAAGTATAAAAAAGAGAAAAAAATAGGGTATAGAGAGAAGGGAAGGAAGAGAGGCAGCGAGAGCGAAAAGGGGTGAAAATTGTGGCGTATAGAGCGGAGCAAAAAAGGAAGGCAGGAGGGTTAAAAAAAAACACGAAAAAGTGCAGACAGATAAGGAAAGAGGGAGGGCGAGGGAGATAGGAAGGAAGAGAGAGAGGTCATAGGTGCTGGCTGTACTGCATTCGCCGCACAAAAGCACAACTTGCGCACTGTTGCGCCGCGTTACCAAGCTACTGCGCGAGCAACCGAACTGTGCCGCTCGGCCACCCCTGCCGAGCAGTCGAGTGCTTTCGTGCGGAGTGTTTACGTCGTCGCGCGGGTAAACACACGTTGTCGTGGCTCGCGCTCTCGTAAGCTCTGTCCTACGCACCCCTTTCTCTTTCTATCGGCGTGAATCAGCTGGAACGCCGATACTTTCATCCTACGCCTTCGCATACCTCGAGTGATGTCGCGCGTTCTGTGAATGTGAAAAACGAACAACTTCATAGAGTCTCGAGCTGATCCGCTGATCGAGTACGCTAAAACTACGAATGCGATACGATAAAACGTCCAATCTTAACTATCCAATTCGAACGTCTCGACTCGTTGCTTATCTTCGAGTAACAAAGACAAGACTGACATTCACTCATGTCAATTCGTGATATTTCGGGCCGTCGCGTCGTTTCGGAATTTACGTGAATTTCGTTTCAAGAGTTCGTAAATCTCGCGTTTCGGACTTTATCGCGACGCGATAGTCACGCCGGTGTGCGCGCTCGCGAGGAATTGGGAGATTAGGATCGCTGGCTCGGGGGATTCGCTAAATCGACAGGGTAGAGAAGCGGCGCGGGCACTGTGACGGTGCAGCAGTGTGCGACGAAGGCTTGCAACGATACGTGACTGTCTTACCCCCTCCCCCCCTCTTCCCCCCTCCCCCCCTCGAGCTCGTTCGTATGTATGTACGTCGATGCTCCGAGCGGAACTCTCACGTCGCCGCGAATTGAACCTGCGTGAGTAGATCGACAGGGTGGGAGACGGAGAAAGACGTTGATCTCGTCATCGCGAAGCGCTGGATGTCACTACGTCATTGCAAAGCAAGGCGTACGTGTGCGGACGTACGTAGTCATCGTTTGTGCCTGGCGTAAACTCGCGCGGCAAAGTGACTACCCCGAAGTGCAGCGGTGATAAGAAGATACAGCCACGCGACGTGATCGTTAGCATAAATGACAAGCGCAGCCAAGGCATCGAACTGAGGTGAGTGAAGGTCTCCATTTGATTCCTTGCGATCGCGTCTTTACGTATAGACACGTATAGACACTTCGATTGAGCCCGATGACCGGTCGTTGATTTTCACGACCGATTCTAGAATCTCAGGTGATATCTTTAGTTGGTATACAGGATTTAATTAGAGGGAATAGGTCGGCACCATCGCATTAATCGTACGAGCTCCCGGCAAATGAAATTATAATCGAACGGCAGGCTGGGTCTCGAATTACGCGCCGCAGAGATAGAACCTGAGGCGCTTGTGCTTCTGGTGTTATCGTGCTCCCCTCTAGAGACCTTTCCGCCCTGCTCCCGGAACGTACGTAATGAAAATTCAAGAAAACTTGGGAACTTTTCGTACTTTAAAATCCAACTCTTGTTGGATATGTACGGATGCTTTCTACATTATGTGAAGCTACGATGTAGGCGATTCTACACAGCTACTCTCTCCAACCCTCTTCCTAATTTATACATATATACTCATCTTTACGCGACGCAAAGATATTTACATATCTTTCTAGCCGTATATGATATAAAATAAATAATATTTGTTACTGATATCGGTACAACAGCGGTTATTTTGAACGTAATTAAAATAAAAATATTAATCCATAGTTTGTAATGAAAGAAATATTTTCATATTTTATTTAATTACTTTCGTTGCGTAATAACAACGTTTTATTCTTTATAATCAGTAGGTCATTGCGTAACTGGAGTACATAATTGGCAGCGTACTTCTTTTTACTTGTTCCAGCGATCAAAGAAGTTTTAATGAAACTTTTTATGTCTTTGATCAAACACTTTTGCTCGAACGATATTACTTTATGAATTGTTTCTCAAACTGAGAACAAGCTACAAGTCAAAGAGTATAAATCCATTCCATTTATAAAGTTACTTTGTTCGATTTGTCGTCGATGATCTTTGATAATAACAGTAAGTTTTAATCTTACGTTGAACGCAGTGACATAATGCGATATTTTTATCGAGATAAAAAGAACTCATAATAACGTTGCGCAATATTACTTTAATTTTACCGCAGAGAGTATATATATGCAAAGAACGATTTTGCTGAAGCATCTAGAAATTCGACTAAATATAAAGCTGAAAATCATTTTGTTGAACTATTAAAAATATTATGTAGAACCTCACAAGGGATAAACCACTGACCAAAATTGTGTGCACCAATGCCTACTAATGCCTATAAGTAATGCCCAAGTAATGTTCAAGTAATGCCCAAATTTTATGGCCACTAATGCCCTAGTAATGCCCACTAATGCCCACTAATGCTCTAATAATGTCCTAGTAATGCCCATTAATACCCTAATAATGCCTTAGTAATGCCCATTAATGTCCCAGTAATGCCCATTAATGCCCTAGTAATGCATAACCTCATACCGCTTATTATAATTCAACACAATTCCCTTAAGTAATGCCCAGTAATACCCAGTAATGCCCCAAATTCGTACACCGTAATGCTCTCAGCGGTTTACCCCTCGTGTGGAACGTTCAAGTATGATGAGTAATGTTGCAAAAAGGTTTGACACTCTAACAACCATCTTGAGTCCTACGTAATAATTTTTGATAGCCCACGCAATTATTTTCAGATCTACATTTATATCTATAGCTAAATTTTAGATACATCAAACCGTCCTTTTCGTATATCGTATAAAATTATAGAAAATTCACGATACTGATAAATTCTCTTCGATTGTGGCATCAGGTTGGCTATTAGCATTCATGTCACATGCTTGTCATAAGCCGATGAACGGAGAGGTCTGATCCTCGTCGCTTCAGGGATCGCCAGGCCTGTCCTACATGCTCCGATCCGCTGCGAGCGCGTCTTGCCCGGGCGCATTCGAAGATGCGCTCCTACGTGCATAGGCGTACTATCGTAATCGGAATACCAGATTGTTAAGTATCTCGGCTATCCCGGGTATGCGTAATGGTAGCGTTGTCATTTTGCGTAACTACGTAAGCGTTCGGCAGGTGCTCGCGTACCATGGGTGGCTGCCGCGCGTACGCGCCACCGAGCAGAATCCTATGCAAATATGCTGAAAGCATAGCCGGGACGCTCGCGGGGTTTTAACGTGCTACTTAGCTGTGCGTTACGTGCGCCGACAGATCGATTTGCTTAGCCTACCTTCTTGTCTCGCCACCGCGCGACCCTCGTATTCCCGTCATCAGCGGCCGCGAAAGCTGGCCACGAAATGTCATTACGGTAACGCGATCTATCGCGCCCGCAAGGATAGGTCGATGATAGGACGGCGATTGAAGCGGTTTAGCGATCGCCCAGCGTATTCGCGGTCTTGCCCGTTTCGTTCGCCGAGCGCATTTTCCTCTCGTCGCGTCGACCCTGGAAAAAGGAAGACGGAAATTTTTATACGGTTATTTTGCCGCTGCTGGGTAATGCGATTCTGAGTCACGTGTACTGCGATAAGGGTGCCGTAAGCAGGGCGTGTAAACAGGGAAATTGGTAGATAGTAACGCCGCGGCCTAATCTTATTTTTAACTTGCTTTTGTAAACTGGGTCGATTATACTGTAATACGATTTATTTCCATAAGATAGTTAATCGCAAAAACGAGTACCGCACACTCGATCAATATATATTTAGCCGTTAATATGATGCTTCGGAATATATTGCGGAAAGTATACAGAGATTCTAAATATAACTACTTTAACCATACAGCACTAAATGTATAAATATCGTAGATGATTGATTTAACAACGCAATGATAATCTGATAACGAGACACGCATCGATAAAAATGATTGATTTTTAGTATCGGAATATTTTGAATACCTGTCGTCCATTAACTCGAGCACTTTAATCGGAATGTTACATTGATCGCTTTAATAATAATGCGTGCATTGTAATGTACAAATTATTATAATGCGATCACTGAATTGTGCGCATTGTTTCTTTGTGAATGATGCATCATTTCACTTCGCGTTTAGTATCACGCCTGACTATCTCCGCTATCCCAATCCCCATTAATTTTAATGGATGCCGTGCCGCAGACTTAACACTCATCCGCACAATAGACACCAGAAGCAATTACAGAACACATGAAAATACGTAATACGTATAACTGCTTTCACTACACGCGTCGACATTGTCACTCTGAGGAACACCGCGCTGATTACATAAATTTCTAATGAAGTTTCCAAGCGCGAATTTTTCACGTAATAGAAAATTCCGTACATAAGTTACAAAAATTAAAATATTACATCGAAAACTCTTTCGTACGGTTAATATTATACGGTTCAAAAATACAAATATAAACGAAATCAATATTTCATGTTGTTTTCCTGACGACTGTTATCGCAAAACGCTGCAAAATATCGATCTGCGATATTAACAACATCTTCCTTCGGCCACCGAGCTTTCCGACGCTTTCGGTCATTTCTACCTCTCCTTCCGCTTACCGTGGGCAGTATCCAATACCCATTAATTTTAATGATGAACGTGGTCAGTTTAACACGTACCGCAGTCATTGTAGCAAGCTTGTAGGCAATAAATCATATCCTCTTGTCACACACTGAAAAGTGCATGGTTCAGATAAGTACGTACGTTATTTGGTACACCCTGCCTATCTGGCTTATCCTCACCCTCCGGGTACATGTACGTGTATTCTCATATATGTGATATACGAGTAGTTAAAGAACATATCATTCTTAAATGCGATTGGGATGGTTGAATTATTTGTTTTTATTCTACTAAAACGAATAATGACTCTTGTATATAATTTGCTTTCTGCGTACTATTTATTTCTTTACAAATTTAATATTTACATTTTTTCGGTATTTAAAGAATTTTTTTGCAATATTTTCAATTTTCAATATTAATTTGCAATATTTCAATTTTTTATGATTTTTTAATAATATTATGTTATACTTTATATATAATCTTTTAAAATATACATTTGTATTTTTTTAAAAAGGTACACATATACATATATTCTGTTATTTATATCTAAAATAAACTTTCACATATTTATCGATTTGAAATTTATTTTAAATTATAAATACATATTGCGAAACACCAATTTCTCTCAGAGCTACAATATTGTTCGCTTGCCAGTAAAGTCGAAAAATTATTGCGCATTAGCGACACAACGAGAAATTACGTAGCCGTATCGTGGCCTACTGAAAACGAGAATGAAAGGGTACCACGTAACCGGAAATTATCATAAATTTTATAGGACTGCCACAGAAAAAAAGGGAAAGGTTGGTGGCCCTTCTGTGAGGGAAAAAAGGAGAGGTGTGCTAATATCGCTAATAACCCGGCTTATCGATTAGGGTAACTGTGCTCGTACACAATAGCCGCATTTCCAGCAACGAGGAACACGCGATAAGACGGAACGTGGCGCGAAAAAATAATGTGTCTTTTAAATACTAAAATTACACTAATTGTCGACGACTAACTAAAATTACAAGTGTCATCTGTCGTGTACAAAGGGGATTCAGTTATCACCCTTGGATACTCCTGACGTAGCAAAAGATATAGAATGAGAAAACTCGGATGAAGATTTTCTTTCAAAACAAGTACGATTGTTAATGAGACGATGAGTCTCGTTATCTTATTCGCTCGCTCGTCGCTTACCACTGAACATAAACGCATGTCTTCCTTTCTAGCTTTCCTTAAAATTACACACCTCGCATACGGAAGTCATTATAATATAATCTTATTTTTACACCGATTAAAAACTTAATTACCGGTTATTGACATTAGTATTATAACTGCATTAGTATTCTATCTATATAGATTTATATAAGATATGGATTATAGATATCTGAAGAGTTTTAATCAAATAATAACTAAAAAAAAAGATCTTTGCGTTAAATGTATTTTTTGTGTATCTTTATTTGTATATTCAATTCTTAATATTATTACCGCTTATCAGATTTATAGAATCATTCTTACACTAAGAAAAAAATGCTGTTGATTCAATTAAAGTCTATATTATAGGCTGTCACTAACATAAGTGATT